AAAAAAAAAAAAAAACACCTCATTGCCATCGAGTTGATTCAGATCCAGAGACCTCCACTGGGTTTCCAAGGCAGTAAATCTGTACAGGAGTAGATGTCCCATCTTCTTTCCAAGGAGTAGCTGGTGAGCTTGAACTACCAACCTTCTGGTTAGCAGTCAAATGCCTTAGGCATTAACGTCATCAGAACTCCTTCAATTAAAATTTAAAAAAACCAAACTCACTGCCATTGAGTCGATTCTGACTCATATAGACGCTCTTTGGGTTTCCAACATGGTAAATCTTTACAGACGTAGATTGCCCAGTCTTGCTTCCATGGAGTGACTGGTGGGTTTGAACCGCCAACCTTCTGGTTAGCAGTCAAATGCCTTAGGCACTATGCTACCAGAGCTCCTTTAATTAAAATTAGGAGCATCTAATTTTCCTTATAATGTGGATCTACTTTTTTTTTTTAAACCCAAACAATTCAAAATATTTAACAAAAAGTTTCACTTTTTATACCCCGCCGAGAAGTGCAACTTTGAGTAAATCACTTAACATCTCCATACCTATTCCTTCACCTGGAAAATTTTGAAAAATAATACCTATCCCCAAGGTTTTTGTGAAAATGATCTAATGAATACAGAAGTACTTGGTGCAATGCCTGATCTATAAAAGGCACTAAATAAATGTTAGTTTTCCCTCAAATTTCCTCCCCAGTTGCACCCCAACCCTGCCCCCAGCACAAGCACACGCGCGCGTGCACACACACACAGACACACTTCGGCTGTGAGTAAATAAATGTTTTGATTTAAACTACAAGCAGAAGGTCAGAGGCAGCCAAGATCTACTCGCTCTGTCCCACTAGCCCTGGCAGCCTCTCAACTGCGGAATCCCTGGTTATTTCCTTTCTCAAGGAAGAGATACTATTCTGGTTTGACAGATACTTTCCTGGACACACACTCAGAATTCCCTAAGGTTCTTATCGTGGCTAATGGGTAACAATGCAGAGACAATGGGAGTGGATAATCACTTTCTCCTAGCTAAAACTTCCTTTATTGACTGCTTTAACTTCCTGTCAGAATCTTGCTGCCAAATCAACCTCGTGTTTTAGGCAACTATTAAAAGTAGTTTTCTTAAAACTGAAAAACACATTTAGCCTCCATCACACTAACCTCAGTTACTAGCCACTTAGACTATTAGACAATTAGAGTATTAGATTTTAGAATAACTGTAATATTAGAATATTTGCAAAATGAAGTTATTTCTATTTCTATTTCTTTCTTTATCCCTTAAAAAGCAAAGAAAGGAGTGAAGAAAGGTATCTCTCAGTTATTCTTTGCATAAGATAATGTGGATGAGAGTAACATTAAGTTAAATATTTATTTAGTATCTAAAGGACCATGCTATCTATTCTTTATTTAAAGAGAAACTGAAAGAAACAGAAAAACAAGCAGTTTGTTCTTGTAGTTAAATAATGTTAAGCTTTCTTTTCTATTGTGGGACAGTATCTTGTATAGCTGTACCCTAAGCACCTAATACAGTCAGGGCCTAGCACATAGAAAGCAATCAATAAATTTTCACTGAATGGAATAAATAATCTTTTGACTTTAAACTAAGGACCTGTGACCTTAATCCCTCAAAGATAAAGCACACAATCCCACCACCTGAAGCACAGCCGCACCACCAGAGGCTAGGATTTCCACTCTGAAAAAGGGTGGCTACAACTTCTTTTTGAGGCAGTTCTGCTTGTTTAGCACATTGCTTTTCCCTTATAGTTTTCCTTCTTTTGTTTTTGTACTAAGGATATTTGTATTAAAAAAAGGATCTTTGTTGCTTACTAATTCATCTGCTCCAGCGGTGCAGACTTCTCATCATTTTTATAAGGAGTGCAGTGAGTTGGCCAGGCTTGCTCCCTTCTTCATCTCTACTGGAAAACGGGGCCCTAAGCTTCCATGCATTGCTCCTCTGCTTCCTTCTACCTTGGGCTTGTGTGTGTGCTAGAGCAGACTTCCGTTGGTCGAGAGTACCACAAATACCTGCATCATGCATCTCATACATCAGCTATCAGAGCTCATCAAAAAGTGCTCACTGGCTAACAGAAACCCCCCTCCCCATTTTTAAACTTCTCTAGTTGGGCCGAGTTACCTCAAGTCAGTGAGGGTACAACGGGAGAAGGTTCTAAAGGCAAGTAGTCCAGAGGCAATCATGAAAGGGCAGTGGGTACATTCAGATGAGTAAAAAAAAAAAAATAATCTATTACTTCATCACAGGTGAAAGCATACAAGAAAGCTGATCACCTATCATTATTATCAATTTAGTTTAAAATACTTTACAAATCACATACATGTATTTTTATACATCTAACTCTCATTGTTGTATTATTTCTAGTCCATAGCCTTGTCTGTTCCTTTCCCAGAGTTGTCTCTTAGTTCTCACTGTTTCTCCAAAAAGGACAATAAATAATTTCCAAGCCACTCATCATCGTAAATCCTGACATGTTAAATTAACCCCTGCTCTGTTTATGAAGCACAGTGGGTCCATAAAACTCCACCCTCACCAGCAACTCACCCCACACAAAATTCTCACTTCCTCTTTTCCCTGCTGGGAAAGATACTTCCTAATGGAGCAATTTGGCCACACCCACAGCCCTCCTGTTCAGTGCCTGTTCAACCCCAGGCACTCAGGGGTCCTTACCTGGAAGGCAGTTGCACTCAAAAGTGAAGTCACCAGTTTGCCGACAGGTGCCGCCATTGACACAGGGGGAGGGTGCACAGGGCACATAGGGGCTATCACAGTGCTGTCCTGTGAAGCCCTGGGGGCACTGGCACTGATAAGAACCTGGGAGGTTGAGGCAGGTACCACCATGCTGGCACCGTCCTGGAATGTCACACTCATTGATATCAGTCTCACACTTCTGTCCTGTGAATCCTGAGAGGCATTTGCAAGAGAAATGGTTGGCCACAGTAGTGCAGGAACTTCCATTTGCACAGGGATGAGACAGGCAGGCATCGGTCCATTGGCACAGTTTCCCTAAGGAAGAATAAGAGAACTCAGCACTGCCCACAGAAATAGGAGCCAGACCCAACCTCAACACCCCACATTTCCCACCAAATCAGTGACATCAGGAAGTTCTTGCACAGAGTATCCATAAGCTCTTAAATGAAATAGGAAGTTCAAATCAGTGTCTCCTCAAGATCATCTAACATATGGCACTCTCTAGCAAGTCTCCAAGCCCCTCAGCTGAGACTCAAAGACTCAGTGGAGCACACGGATGGGCCTATATGTTAGTCATACAACGTCCAATCCTACAGGGTTCCATCATTCCCTGAAGCAAATAAGGGTCTACTTCCTCATAACTTCTTGAGTTCACATAAGCTCTTTTTCCTGTTTAGAATGCCATCTTCCTTTTGCTCACCTAGTGAACTCTCACTTATCCTGAAAATTCTGCTCAAAAGTCACCACCTCTGTAAAGTCTTCCTTAACGACCCCTTACTTCCCCAAATCACTCTCACACACACTGCATTGCAGTGAATTACTTAATACGGGCCCTTCTGGCCATAGTCTTTGTAACTCCCACCAAGTGACTGGATGTTATGATATAAACAAGGTTCCTGTGGCCCCCCAAGGGGAATAGATAGCTTGCTAATGACATGAATAAACTGCACGGTACCTTTGTTGGGGTGGGATCATGCAAATAAGGTATATCCTACTGAGGGGACTGGTCAGGTTTGCCATCTTGGAAGGCTTAAAGGGAGATACAAAGACAGAGAGAGGAGCTGTAACATGGAAAGCAGTGAGAGATGATGGCGCAGTAGCAGCAAGAGTGAAGTGGTGCACAGTGGCAGGAGACGGCAGGAACCAGGAGCCTGGCATAAGACAGATGTGGGGGACGTGCCAACCCATGGAGCTAAGAGCTGTAACACTTGCCCATGAAGGCCCTCAGCAGAACCCAGTAGCAGAGGGAGAGGAGACGCGGTCCTGATGGAAGAACTGCATCCTCAGTTGTTCCTATTACTTCTGAGTTAATCTCAACCCCGAGTTGTACCATTACTTCTCTGATAAACCACCTTACTGTAAGTACAGTTTATGAGTTCTGAGAGATGTTGCAATGAATTATGGAACCCAAAGATGGGAGGGAGAGTACTGAGGGCGGTGGAGGTAGTTGATGTTAGAGTTCATGTTAGAGTGAAAAAGTTTGGAAAAGTTGAACATTTGGGACATCTTTACCCTCTGCCTCACAGGAACCAGCTTTGTGCTGATCTTTATTAAAGAAATAATTCACTTACGCATACATACACACCTAGGCTCAGGCATACAAACACATATGCACACACAGGTATAGGTACACACAAACACACACAACGCGAGTTTGCTGTTTTCTTTCTATTATGCCACCAACCACTTCCTAAAAAGACAACCTCAATGACAGAAACAAGTCAACACTATTTCTATTTCCTTTAAACACAATGCACACACATATTCTGGGAAACATTATTAATTGTCTAGTTATAAGTATCATTTAATGAGTTTGAATAGGATGAAGAATCTCTGGCTCCTTGATTATTAAAGAAATAGAGGCTGTCATGAGAATAAAGATCTATAAAGGTAATGCTTGTGCATTCTCTCAGGAATAAGTGCACCATGAGAAGCAGGAAGACTGGTGATGGACCCTAAGGCATGACTCCAAGGGAATGTAAAGCACACTCACTGAGGTAGAGAGAATACTCCCAGGGTGGTATTAAATTTGGTATTCATATGGCTTTTTCTCTTCATTAGCTTATGCTTTTTTTTTTTCCTTAACCAAAGAAGTGAGAACCTTCTGAGTTTGTTAACACTTCAACTGGCTGTCTAAGAAAGCATCCAAATCTTTGACCCCATAGAAAAGCAAATGAGAGCCATGACAGCTTCCTAAAAGGGGGAAAGAAGTGAAACACAGCACACAGATGTGCTCTTCACCTACCCAGGTGTGCTCTTCACTTACCCAGGAACATCAACTCGAAGGGGAAAGGTGAAATAAAAATCTGGACACAGCACATATATCACTAAGTACTAAGCAAAGAGAAAATGAAGGAACTGTACATTTTCATCCTACTTTTCCCTCATTCCACTGAGTTACAAAAACCTGCCATCGAGCTGATTTTGACTCATAGTGGCCCTCAAGGACAGAGTAAGGCTGCAAATCTTTATGGAAGCAGACTTCCACCTCTTTCTTCTGTAGAGTAGCTGCTGGGTTCAAAACACTGACCTTCTGGGTTAGCAGCTGAGTGCTTTAACCAGTGCACCACTAGAGTGCCTTTACTTACCTACAGTGGAGAAGAAATAGAAGTGCTTACTCTGGCAACCTTGTGTAGGAGGAAACAGAAAGGTCCCTGGATTGGGTTTCCTGTGTACGTCACATATAGTCACTGACTTGCTGCCTCAGTTTCTTTATCAATGAGTGGGGATAAGCTAAGAAGGGTAATAGGTGAAATATAGGGATATCACAAAAACCAGAAGGATAAATGCAGTGATTCCTAAAGTGACAGACAGGAGTAGCAGATAGATCAAGATGATCAGAACCCTGCACATCATGAAGAGATCCTTTTAATGGTAAAGAAAGGAGTTTTAATTTGGGGAACATTTCAGAGTGACATTTTAATTATGAAGAAGGGATTACTGCCATTTCCATTAGACAGGATTAAAATGTTTTAGATGGGTACACTTTCCCTACTATTATCTTGCCTTGTGGTAGGAAAACAATTCAAAACTGACAATCAGAAAGAAATTATTCTCTTAACCACCAAATTTCTTCAATGACTCACAAAATGGATGCTATCATAGACAAAATGGAGATAATAGATTATCCTCCTAATTACCCTCTGTCCCACCAACACCTTCTGAGGAAGAATGAGTAGAACAAATATTCCTAACTAACTGATACAGTCTAGTTTTCTGCGTATGTTTTTCATTTTCCTTATTAGATTTATACACCTATTGGTTTAGTGCTGTAGGTAGAGAACGGTCTTTTTCTTATCTAATTTAATAAACACTTATAGGCCACTGTAAATAAACCTCAACCTTTGAAGAATTCATAATCTAATGAGGTAAGAGACATAAAAGAATGAATTATAATAAAATGTGATATGAAAAAATAGTAAAATATAGATACTAACTGCCTAAAGGAATCATGAAAGGATCACTGAGACAGTGTCTTATATGACACTGGGCAATCGCCAACTGGAGAAAAGGTCCTTCCAGGCACAGGAATGTAAAAGGGTATGGTGACAACAGGAAGTATGACATTTAAAGGGAAGAAGGAGAATTTTGGTGTGGCTAGAGCTAGATGCTTGTGGGGCGGTGAAACTACACAGGCCTAGATTGTGAAGGGCTATGAACACCATGTTAAAAAGTTAAAAGTAAAAAACAAAAAACTTAAAAGTTCCTGGCACTGAAAGCAGGTGAGTTTTGAGAAGATTTTCATTTACAATTAAAGATGTGGTAATGTGACTGATGAACTAGGTGGGGTAAAGGCAAGGAGACTGATTAAGAAACTACTTCTGAAATCCAGCGAAGGGATGGAATGGCTCTAAACTAAACTAGGAGAGGATATAGAGAAGAACACACACGTGAGAGAAAACTCAGTCACTGGGCTGGGCTGGGTGACTGAGTTTAAGTGGGGTAAGGACAAGGGAAAGAAGTTTCTAGTTTTGGAACTTGGAGTATATACTGGTACAACTTATTTATGTTGACATGTTGAGTTTGAAGCACCTATAGAACTTCCAAGGGGAATGTGCAATGGATGGTTGGAAATAGGAGCCTGAACATCAGGATGGGGATGGAGCTAAAGAGATGACTGTGGGAACCATCAGCAACTGCTGAAGATAATGACAGTTGAAGCAACAGTAGAAAGTGAGATCCCCTAGAGAAAGCTGTAAAGTGGCTGAAAAGAGGGCTCAAAACAGACTTTCAGGAACACAAAAAAAAAAAAAAAAAAAAAACCCAAACTCACTGTCATCAAGTTGATTTGACTCATAGCGACCCCTCCTTGGGTTTCTGAGGCAGTATCTCTATGGAAGTAGATTGCCCAATCTTCCTTCTGAGAAGTGGCTGGTGGGGTTTGAATAGCCAGCCTTCTGGTTAGCAGTTGCCAAAGAGGCAGGGAGGCCACATCTTCTGACCTCTTCTAACCCCACAAGAGGAAGACAGAATCACCATCAGTAGCCCAAGGCCTAACCCTCTGAGACCAGACATGCCACCTCGCTCCAACCTTTTCACCAACCCTGCTATCAACTGTTCCTCCCACAGCACCTGCCACCTCTCTCCTGGGTTCGATAATTCTCTGCAGTGGCCACACAGAACTCACAGATTATGGAGTTTATTAGGGAAGCACCAGACTACAATTCAAGTTCAGGAACACACTCAGTCTCTTGCAGCCAGCCGTTTCACTTAGCAGCTAGCAGTCTCTCTCAGCAGTGTGTGTCTCTCTCAGCAGTGTGTGTCTCTCTCAGCAGTGTGTGTCTCTTGTGTCTCTCAGCCAGCAGTGAGAGATTCTTTCTGCCTCTTGAAGGGCTCCTTTTAATCCTGGCAGAGTGACCAAACTAACCAATCCCAACATCAGAATTCTATACCTCTGAGAGAGAGAGAACTTCCCAGAAGATTGCTTCATGCCACTCTCAACAGAAATACCCCAGGTGGGTAACTTTAACAATCAGAAGATACTCAGTTGCTCATGGCAAATTCCACCACTGAGTTTACAAAGATTTATGGCTAGAAAAGCCATACCAGGTAATTTACTACAGGGCAGCAGTCAAATGCCTTAGGCACTATGCTACCAGAGCTCCATAAACAAACATTCAGGGGATATTAAAGTGATGAAGACAAGGTAATGCAGAAGCAGAAGAAGCAATCAGAGCATGGAAAACCAGAAAATCCTTTGCCCTCAATGTCAAAGGAAAGAAGATTTCAATAAAGACGTAGTCAATAGCATCAAAACCTTTTCTTCTGGAGAGAGTGTATTTCTTTTGGTGTAATAATTCTGATCCCCAATTCTGACATACACATTTTATGTGGTCAAATACTTCTGAGTAATCCCTTTTTCCTTTCTCCAACTCTGCTCCTTAAAACCCTCAAAAGGAAGCTGAGTGTAATTGTTTGGGCCATTCCAGCTTCTTACTATAATGTTAAAAGGGTACCTGAGCTGAGGCATCCTTAAGTACCAGACACCAAGACAGAAAAGATGTCAAGGAAAGACATCTGCTGAGAGAAGGAAAATATGGGTCTGAGTCCCACTTGTTACCTGTAAAACCAACTTGGCAGGTGCACTCATAGGTATCTCGGCTGAGCATGTGGCAGGTGCCGCCATTCAAACAAGGGCGAGACATGAAGCAAGGGTGAGAGGTGGAATACTGGCAGTCTTCGCCTGTGAACCCTGGGGTACATCGGCATGTAGCTTTCCCCAACATGGCCTGGGCCACACAGGTCCCACCATTCTGGCAGCGATTCCTCTCACAGGGGTCTCGATGTTGACAGTATTCTCCCAAAAAGCCTTCTGGACATCTATATAGAAAAGAGAGGACTTCATGAAAATATTGACTTCTTTTATGACTAAAAACTTATAAGAGGACAATGCAGTCCATTCAAGGAAACACTAGACTGTGGATCAAATCTGAAGGCACAACCTATGCCTAACTTTGAGAGAAGAAGATATGCGTAGGGAACTTAATCACATACTCCCATGTCTTTCTGCATCTTGGCAGGTTATAGAATACCAGGTGGATCCAGCATGGTCTGGCATGGCTGATCATCATGACCCTTACTCAAGGCAAAATACAACCATAGCATTTTTCATGTAGGTACAGGCTGGTATGGTGTAATAACAACTTTTTGTAGAACATTGTTCATACATGTCTGCTTAAATTCATTAACTTTCTCATTTTGACTAAGCCATTTGATAGAATTAAGACATTCACATGATGTGGGGAGGTGAGGCTACAAAGGCCTAGTAGGCCTAGATTGTGACTGGCCTTAACATTTCCTCAAATGTAAAATATATATATATATATATATATATATATATATATATATATATGTACACACATGACTGTTTTCTCTCAAACATTGGGAAATAATAAGTTCTTCTTTTGTTTCCAGTGAAACATCATTTGGCCTGTATCTAGCTTTCTGGGTTATGTTCATGCAGTTGAGACTAAGATAGAGAAAGAGGAAGGAGGTATAAGAATAGGGAAGGGTTCAAAGGGGCATTTTGAAATCTGTCAGCATAGAAGTAGTTGGCAGCTTTTTTAACTAAATGAAAAGGCATAAATTATCTGAAAAACAAAAACAGAAAAACAGTTGCCATCCGGTCGATTGCAATGCATGGCAATCCCATGTGTCAGAGATTTTCACTGGTTGATTTTTTTTTTTTGGAAGTAGATTGTCAGGTCTTTATTCTGAGGTGCCTCTGGAAGGACTCAATCTTCAACCTTTTGGTTAGCAGCCAAGTGTGTTAACTAACTGTATCACCTAGGGAGTCCTAAAATATCTAAGATACCACAGAAACACCAAAGTGAAGGAGGAAGAACAAGGATAACATCTGAGGCTTTAAGGAAACTTTTTATATGCCACTCCTTTAGCCATACGATCATCCTAGTTTTTGTATACTATTTATGACAATTTTCTCCGAACAGTGTCAAAATATCTCCATTTTCATAACAAAAAGGTTATTTAAATGAATTTCCAAGCAGCACTATAAATTTTGCCAGTTGGCTATCTATCCCAGATACCTGGCTCAACCTATTTCTCCATTTAACTTTTTTTAGAGGGTAGAAAACTAAATCTACAGAGGTGTTCCATCATTACTTCAAAGATAAACACAATTAAACCAAACTCTCTATCTCCCCTCTCAAAACTAGCTCATACAATGCTGTCCTATGTCTAGTCACTAGTGTCCTGATTCTCCTAATCACCCAGACTTGGAGTACTGGGGTCATGTTTGACTCCTACACATCTTTGCCAATCATATCCAAGATCTTTCACTAATCGTTAATTGGCCACGTTAGGCTTCAGGGTCATGGTTACTGAGAAAAGAAGGAGGACCAGAAGTTTGAGAACTAAGACAGAACATACCCAAAGGAATTACACAGTAGTTAAAATGGTTGGAGGATGAAACATAGCTGGTACATAGCTACAGCAATAGTGATATAACTGGCCACAGCTTCCTCAACCCTTCCCAGAGTTGTATAATGAAAGCATGGCAGGACAAGAGGCAACCAGGGCTCTGAGCACCTTAACGAGTTGGTGAGGTTAGACACCAAGAGGCAGTGAGGAGAGCACACAGCACTGAAACCCACGACTGGCTGAAGTGGACGTGACAAGTCTGCACCTCAGGAGGTCAGAGGCCTCATCTGGAGTCCTGGGACTGTGTCCTTGGGCAAGTTTCTTACCTCACTGACTGTCAATTCTTTCACATTCTAGATAGTTAATAAGGCTACCTACATCGCTGGGTTGTTGTAGGAATTAAATAAAAGCAATTATGTGAAAAACCTTATAAATATGGAGATGTTTTGCAAATGAAAAACATTTTTTTTCTCCTCTTTATGTTTACTAAGGAAAATATGATGCCTTTTTCAAAATAATCACAGCTTGATTTGATAATAGTTTTTTTTTTTTAAGAGAGAGGAAAAAAAAAGCAAAAACTTCCAATGAAGTTGGAAGCACAGCTAAAATTAACCATGAGCTATATTATTAAAAGCATTTGCAGCTTTTTCAAGAAATCTGTTATGGATGATATTAAAAACTGCAACACAGTTCTCATTCACAGTGACAGTCCTCTGGGGTTAGGCCTGGCAGAGGACTCTTGATTATTCCATATGGGAATTATTCACCTTGTAAATAATGGCTAACTTTTAATCCTGGGTGGGCTTTGCCTGGCTTTGCTCCTGGACCATGATTCCAATCCCCCCCTCACACAATACACACTATTATCATGTGGCATCTGCTCAGAGAATGCAAACTCATTTTAATATTAGCATCATAAACAAGGAATGAAAATCTAAAGTTCCCAGGATGCTGGAGCCAAGCATAAGTATTCTTTAAGTATCTGTTACTGGAGTTTAATCTACATTGTTGTTCTCTTTCAAGTATGGAAAAATACATTTCAATTAAGACACGTCTAAGGAAGCAGTAAAAACAGGGATTAGCAAACTACAGTCTGTGGGCCTAATCTGGCCCACTGCCTCTTTTTTTATGGCCCATGAGTTAAGAATGGTTTTAACATTTTTAAATGGTTAAGGGGAAAAAAAGAAAAATCAAAAGATGGGTACTATTTTGTGACATTGGAAAACTATGTAAAATTCAAATTTCAGTGGCTATCAATAAAGTCTCATTGGAACACAGCCATGTCATTCATTTATGTATTATCTATTGCTGCTTTCATACTGTAACAAGTGCTGAGTAGTTGCAATGGAACCATATCACCCACAAAAACATTCACTATGCCTTTATAGAAAAAAACTTGCCAACCTCCAAGAAAAAGAATACATGAAATTTAATTCTAATTAAATAGCACCTTAAAGATGAAGAAGAATGTTACCATATAAGCTTCTGCAAAGAATATTAAACCCAATCCAGACCTGCTGCCATTGAGTTGATTCCAACTCACTGCGATCCTATAGGGCAGAGTAAAACTCCCCTATAGGGTTTCCAAGGCTGTCAATCTTTATGGAAGAAAACTGCCTCATCTTTCTCCCACAGGGCAGCGGCTGGGTTCAAACTGCTGACCTTTTGGTTGACAGCCAAGTGCCTTAACCATTGTACCACCAAAGCTAATAATATTCATTCATTCAACAAACATTTATTAACTGGTTGGTATATTTCAGTACTAGGAATATCCCTGCCCTCATGGAGCTTAAATTTTAGTAAAAGAAGACAAAAACCAAAATTAATGAATAAAAATATATCCAACAAAGTTAAGCACTATGAAGAAAGTAAGACAGAAAACATGGACAGGAAAAGTTGGGGTCAGGGATAGTATAGGGTGTTAAAGAGATGTATTTCAGTTTTAAATACGAAAATCAGGAAAGCTCTTACTGAGAAGGTGACCTGTGAGTTAAGATCTGAGTGGGGACTAGTCACGCAGGTATCTGGGGGAAGAGTGTCCAAGGCAGGAGGAACAGCAAAGGCAAAGGCCCTAAGGCAGGGAGCAGTCCTGGCGAGGAGACCTCTGTGGCTATACCAAACCCAAACCCACTGTTGTCAAGTGGACTCTGACTCATAGGGACCCTACAGGGCAGAGTAGAACTACTTCACAGGGTTTCCAAGGCTGGTGGTGTACTGCCTAAGGCATATGACCGCTAACCAGAAGCCTGGTGTTCAAACCTACCAGCCACTCCTCGGAAGGAAGGATGGGCAATCTACTTCTGTAGTGATATTGCCTTGGAAACCCAAGGAGGGGTCGCTATGAGTTGGATCCGACTCCACGGCAGTGGGTTTGGTTTTTTTGGTTAATATTTAGGGAAGCAAACTGCCAAGTCTTTTTCCCACAGAGCAGCTAGTGGGTTCAAACTGCAGACCATTTGGTTAGCAGCCAAGCACTTAAGCATTGTGCCACCAGGGCTCCTTTGGCTATAGCAAAGGGGCTAAGAAAAAGAGAAATAGGAAATAGATGAGAGTTGTAACTAGGGACTAGGTCATGTGGGATTGTGAGGTCATTGTAAGCAGTTAGGATTTTACTCATGTGAGATAATACCTTTTTTTTTTTTTTTTAAACTTTTTATTGTGATTTAGGTGAAATTTTACAAAGCAGATTCATTTTACATTCAGTAATTCATACACATTTTGTTCTGCGACACTGATTACAATCCCCACAGTGTAACAGCTCTCCTCCCACTTCCTCCCTGTGGGTTACCTTCTCTCTGTGCCCTTCCTGCCTATGTACTCCTGCCTCCCTACCTTTCTCCCTGTGCAAATGCTGCCCTTCTAATCTTCCGTGGCTGACTGTTCTAAGGAATGCATGTCCCTGGTGCAGTTGTTCAACTTACAGGCCTGTCAACTGTTTGGCTAAGAGATAAGCCACAGGAGTGAGCTCAATTCCAGGCCAAAGGGTAACTCGGGAGATAATACTTTGATATGATGTACAATTCACTTCCTCTCCTAAAGTCCATGTACAGAACTGCATCTTTAATGAAACTAGACTCATTATTGGTATATTAAGACCTGATTTCTTATTTAAAATGTTCCAGAGAGCTAAAGACATCAGCTTATTTCTTTACTTTTGCCTTAAAGCATGAACAAGTCTCCCTTAATATAAATTTTTCACCAAGATCTATTTCTGTTTCCTAATTCTTTCACAAACAAGGATCTATAATTGTAGCCTGATTTTTCTTTCTTTTCCATCTATTTCTTACTTGTCCCTCTGCAGTGAAACTTTCATTTTAATTACTGCCCAGACACTACATTCTAAGAGCAATGACTTTCTCCTTACCGAGTTCAGTGGTCTCATCTGAGATTTCATCATAATGAAATTCTTTCTCCTATAGGAGACATTGCTGACCATTCTA